GTCCTGGGCGAGAGGGGCGGCCGCCTTGAGCCCGCTCCCCGGAGGCCCGAGGAGAGGCCGAGCCGCCCGCGCCCCGCGCCCTTCCTGCCGGGGCCCGCCCCGTCTGTCCCCGACCCCTGCGCAGCCCTCCCCGCCTGCCCCAGAGGCTGCCCCGCCAGCTCCCGTAACCCAGCCCCCAGGGGGTGTCCACGGTGCTGCCGCCTCTTCACTGGCATTTCGGTGCCGGCGGTCTCTGGCTGCTCCCATGTGATTCTCAAGCCTGAGCCCCTTTCAGCAGCAGGAAGGTGTGTGTAGGCGGGGGAAGAGAAAGCGAACCCCCAGGGAAAGGGGGCATGGTTCGGTTGAGTTTTTCAGAGCTGGGGAGAGGGCAGGAGGTAGATGCGGAGGCAAGGAGCACCGTTCTCAGTCTTCCCTTCATTCTTTGAGCTTTACTGAGCACCTGCTACGCGCTGTGATAGAGGCTTCAGAACCCAGTGAGACATGAACCGGCTCCCGATGGGAGCGCAGTGTTGGGGGCTCCGGTTTGAATCCTGGCTTCACCCCTCTCAAAGCTGTGGAATCTGGGACCGAGGACCCGCTGTCTCTGTAAGTTCCTCATCTGTAATATTATAATAGTACCTGCCTCTGTGGGACCGTGGAGGGATGAAACGAGTTTATGTAACTAAAGCAGGCAACACTGCCTGGCATATAGTAAGCGCTCGGTAAATGTTTGCTATTCCTGTCACTACCCTTACTGTGGTTCTTTTTACAAAGAGGTCACGATGCCATCACGATGTAATGGCAACACATCTGGACAGGACATTATGGAACAAGAACACACAACTCTGCTTGGGCAAGGGCCAGAGGAGAGGCTGGGGAGGCTTGCCCGGGAAAGGTGATGTCCTCTTGAGTGTCAGAGGGGTTGACCGTGGGAGAGGGGGTCACAAAACATGCCTGCAGGCTATTTCTCCAGGGTCCCCCCGGATTTCACAGGCCGCACCAGTGGGGTCAGGGAAGCACAGAACATAGGCCTGCCTCTGCCCATCTCACCGGCAAGCCCAGTGAGGCTGGGAGAGGGAAGCCTGTGTTTTGCAGAAAGGCTGAGCATAGGACTCGGAGTGTGTGAACTTGGAATCCGGCCTCTGTTCCTCCATTTATTCACAGCCCTGACTGTGGAACCAGGAAGTTACCCAGAGGCACATTTGGGGTCAGCGGGAAGAACTCCAACAGGCAGATTTGCCCATGGTGGACAGGGCCAGCCTCGTGCAGTAATGAGCTCCCTGTCACTGAAAGCGAGCAAGTAGAGGCTGGAGCGCTGTTATTAAAGATGTGGCAGAGGCTGGGCAGGACGGCCTCTGAGATCTCCTGGCCCAGTGTCAGGCCTGGGCCTCAGGTGAGGCCTTGATGAGCCGGAGCTCACTGTGGAGCCCCACGGTGGGTGTCGTGATCACCGTGAACATTTGCCTGGTGCTTCTCTGGGTTGCTAGGCTTTCACATACGCCTTGGCTCATCCCATTTTTGCCCACCCCACCCCCCCAGGGGTGTCCTCAGAACAGAGCAAGCAACCCCCACCCATGCCACAATGCTCAGAGAAGCAAGCAAGCAAACAGCCAAGGAGGTTTCCCCTGGGCAAGAGGACACGGGGTGAGGATACTTCCGCTTTTCATTTTTTATCTCTCTGGATTGTGGGAAATGCACACAATGAGCTGTACAAAATTACTTCCACAATTTTTTTGAATGGCTAAAAATAGGCAATGGAAAAGGATGGGAAAACAGTATGGAGTTCCTCAAAAAGTTAAAAATAGAACTACCCTACAACCCAGCAATTGCACCTCTAGGTATTTACCCAAGGGATATGGGGGTGCTGATTTGAAGGGGCACATGCACCCCGATGTTTATAGCAGCGCTATCAGTAATAGCCAAGGTATGGAAAGAGGCCAAGTGTCCATCGACAGATGAACAGATAAAGAAGATGTGGTATATAAATACAATGGAGCATTACTCGGCAATCAAAAAGAATGAAATCTTGCCATTTGCAACTACGTGGATGGACCTGGAGGGTATGACGCTAAGTGAAATTAGAAAGATAAATATCATATGACTTCACTCATATGTGGAATTTAAGAGACAAAACAGATGAACATTAGGGAAGGGAAACAAAAATAATATAAAAACAGGGAGGGAGATATAACAGAAGAGACTCTTAAATACAGAGGACAAACAGAAGGATGCTGGAGGGGTTGTGGGTGGGGGGATAGGCTACATGGGTAAAGGGCATTAAGGAACACACTTGTGGGGTGTTATACGCAGGGGATGAATCACTGGAAC